CCTTTTGGAGCCACTTTAGTGCCCTTTTAAGACAATTTTGCGCTGTCTTGGGGCGTCTTGGAAACCTTTGGCCGTCTTGGGGCTCTCTTGGGAACCTCTTGGAGCCCTTTTGGGAGCCTCTGTGGGCCCTTTTGGGGCCTATTGGGCCTCTCTTGGGGCCCATCTTGGGCCGGCTGGGGGCCCACTTGGACCGTTCTCCACCTCTTTGGGGAGCCTCTGGGGCCGTCTTGGGACGAGCTTTGGGACCTCATGGGCCGTGTTGGGCCCGTCTGGGCCCGAAAAGGCGAGAACCCGAAAAACCTTTAAAAAACCTGCGGAAATCAATGTTTTCGGGCTCCTGAGGCCCTTTCGAGGGCCCTCTGGAGGTTCTCTGGAGCCGCCTCGAGGCTCTCTTGGACCGCCTGAAGGCCATCCAGAACTCTCTTGGGGCCGTCTTTGGGTAGTTTTGGTGCCCTCTTGGGCCGCCGTGGCGCCCTTGACCCGCTTCACTCGAAAAAATACGAGGAAACGGGCCGTGGAAGGCGCCCGCGAACCGCTCTACTTGAAAAAGATAAAATGGAAACGGCCCCCCGGCGGCCATTAACACTCAAACGCGCGGCCCTCGCCCCTCCCCTCGAACCCCTCCCTAGAGGGTTCCGCCCCACACAAGAACGTCATCACTCGTACCTCGCTCTTTTCGTTACCTGCCAGGCACGGGAACGGAAAGCACAAGTACTTCGTGAGAGCGCGCGATCGCTTGCTTAGGGTCTTGGAGTCCTCTTGGTGTTAAGACTTTGGTACGTCATACAAATATGGCACACAACCTTGCGAAAATCAGTGGATGTGGCCTCTCCGGGCCTTCGTGGGGCTCCTTTTGGTGTTCTTTTGGGCCTTCTTGCTGCCTTCTAGGGCTGTCCCAGGACCCTCTTGGGCCGTCTTGGGGCGCTTGGGCCGCCTTGGGACTCTCTTGAGGCGTTCTTGAGCCCTCTTGGGGGCCTCCAGTGGCCCTCTTGAGGCTCTCGCGGGAGCCTTTTGGGACCCTCAGGGGCCCCTCTTGAGCCGTCTTGGGTTTCGCTCTGTTGGGCTGTCTTGGAGCCCAATTGGGCCATCTTGGGGCCCTCTTGGGGGCCTCTTGGGCCACCTTGGGGCGGTCTTGGGGGCCTCTTGGGCCGTCTTAGACGGGACGAAGATGCGAAAAGCGGATGTGCCAAAAATGTACGTTTTCCCTCGGGAATGGGACGGTGTTTGTCACTTGGGGGTATTTTCTGGAACCTCTTGGAACATCTGGAGGGTCGCTTTGGCTGAGACCATCTTGGGTCGTCTTTGAGCGCTCTTGCGCCGTCTTGGGGTCCTCCTGGGCCTCCTTGAGGCCGTCTTGGAGGTGTCTTCAGCCGTCTTGGGAGCCTCTTGGGCCGTCCTGGGCGCTTTTGGGGCTGAGTTGTGCCGTCTGGGGCGGAACATGGCCGTAAATTGGGGCTATTTGATCTTTGGCGGGTCCTGCCAACCCCCTGACACTCCCCCGATATTTTCCAATTAAAGGATCGCGACGCTATGCGCGCTATCCGTCATCTGGGCCCCCTGAGGCCAACCCCCTCACACTCCCCCTTTTAATTCTTTCCCGACGAACGGATCCGGACGCTACGCGCGCTTTCCGTCATCTGGCACAGCTTCTGTGCACTGGGCCGCGCGGCGGCCGACTCCAACATCGACGGCCCGAACGTCTGCGCCGTCCCGCCAGCCACCCACCAGGCGTTGGACGACCATTCCGCCGCCGCCGCGTTCGCCGCCGCGGGCCGTCGGTGAGCCCTCAACATGTATGGAAATGTGCGCGTGGAACGCGACCACCCTTTGAAGAATGGCATGGGGGACTGCATTCTGAAGCTGCTCATCGCAGCGAACTTACTTCCCGGCGCCAAGGATAATCGAAGAAAACTGAAGGGAAGTCAGAGACCTAGAAAACGACGCACGCCACACCAAACAACAATAGCCAAACCACAAAAACACGTCGGATGTGTCGGGGCGGGGACGGGTTTGCGCTAACCCTGCCGGCACCGGCGCAGGCCCAACGGCGAGCGGCGGCGTGATCCGCGCACGGTGTCGGGCACGGGGCGCGATCGGGGCCGCGGAAGGATCACAGGTCGGCGGCGCCGCCCAGAGACTCGAGGAAGCGGGGGCTGTCATCCTTGGCAAGCCCGCAGTGGCGCGCGAGCGGCGGCAGCCGCTGCCTCTGGTCGCCCAGAGGATGTTCACGAGTACGCCTCGTGCCGTGAAGCAAGGCACTGCGCCTCGGACACGATGCATGCGCTGAGCCGTGCTGTGCCGTGCACCAGACACTGCCACTCGAGGCTGCAGAACGCTGGAGTGCATGGCGCCCCATGGCGTTGCACCCCGTTGCGTTGCACTGCGCATGTATGCCTTCCTCGCAACTAATACGCCATGCGTGAAGGGCTTGCTTTTGAATTCGCGTGAAACAATACAGGATGAGACCACCGGTCATACAGCAATAGAGGAAATCATATAAATACCTATACGACCACCCTTCGGGTGATAAGGACGTTCGGGGGGGGGGAGGAACCAACGTCTCACTCGATCGGTCTCACAATCGATCTCACTATCGGTCTCGCTCGATCGATCTCACCCGATTTATCTCACAATCGATCTCACTCGATCTAGTTCATCCGATCGATCTCACAATCGATCTGACTATCGATATCACACTCGATCTCCCTATCGATCTCACTATCGATCTCACAACCGATCTCACATTCGGTCAAACTATCGATCTCACTATCGATATAACAATCGATACCACAATCAACGTCATCATCATCATCATCATCATCATCATCATCATCATCATCATCATCATCATCATCATCATCATCATCATCATCATCGTCATCAATGTCATCAACATCATCATCGTCATCGTCAGCATCATCGTGACACCATCATCATCACCGCCTCATCACCATCATCATCATCATCATCACCACCACCACCACCACCATCATCATCATCATCATCATCATCATCATCATCATCATCATCATCATCATCATCATCATCGGGAAACCATCATCGTCACCATCATCATCAAAATCATCAGAATCGGGACACCATCATCATCATCGGAACACCACCATCATCGTCATCATCATCACCATCCCATCATCATGATCATGAACAAAATCATCAACATCATCAACATCGGGACAACATCATCATGATTAGCAACATCATCATCAACATCATCATCGGAACATCATCATCATCATCGTCACCATCGTCATCATCATCACCATCATCATCATCATCATCATCAACATCATCGGGACACCATCATCAACATCATCATCATCATCATCACCATCAGCATCATCACCATCATTGGGCCACCATCATCAAAATCATCATCACCTCATCATCATCCTCATCATCAACATCATCAGCATCATCATCATCGGAACACCATCATCGTCATCATCATTATCATCATCGGGGCACCATCATCATCACCATCATCATCAACAGCATCATCATCAACCTCATCATCATCATCATCAACAGCATCATCATCGGGCCACCATCATCATCATCATCATCTTCATCATCTTCATCATCAAATCATCTGATCATCATCAACATCACCAGGATCATCAACATCATCATCATCGGGGCAGCATCATCATCATCATCAGCAACATCATCATCAACATCATCATCGGGGCACCATCATCATCACCACCATCACCATCATCATCATCATCATCATCATCAACATCGTCAACATCATCATCATTACCATGGGGACACCATCATCATCACCACCATCACCATCATTATCATCATCATCATCATCAGAATCGTCATCATCATCATCATCATCATGATCATGATCATCATCATCATCATCATCATCATCATCATCATCATCATCATCATCATCATCATCATCATCATCATCATCATCATCATCATCATCATCATCATCATCATCGGGACACCGACGGGACACCGACGGGACACCGGCGGGACACCGCCGGGACACCGCGCGCCACCGGCCCCCGAGCGGGACACTGGCGGGACTCCGCGGGGCACCGGTTGCCAGAAGGGAGACTTTTGGTCCGGCCGCGCCTCAGTTACAGGAGACTTCTTTCTCGCCCGCCCACGCAGCTTCGCCTCGCCCGCACGCACGGCACGCACGAACACGAAACCGAAACCGATTTCCCGGTAGGGTGGCTCTCCGTTCCACTTCGATCTCACCCCCTCACCTCCGACTCAGGACGGCCGCCTACGCACCCAACTACCTTGTCAACCTTCTACTGATGGTGCTTAAGATGGTGATGTGGCGATGGCAACGACCGAGATACAATGACGGCGACGACGACGAAATCGTGACATGGAGGAGCCGGGAACGGTGACGTAACAGCGGCGGCGGTGACGGTGGTAGCGTGACGGTGGCGGCTCTGATGATGGTGGTGATGACGACGATGATGATGGTCATCAGCACTGCGGCGAGAGCCCTCAGCCCCCGAATCCATACTCCAGGCCTCGGAACCCGAAGACACACTGGACACACACCCACCCACTCACCCTGACGCACGCGAATGGGGCACATTGTGGCCGAGACCCTGGACAAAGGGCAGGCGCGGCATCGCCCGGATGGTGACGCTGGCAGTGGTGCTGATGCGCCTGACACCTTTCACCATGCTCTAGGTTTAGGTCGAGCGTGTCCCCCTACAGGCGGATTCTGGACGAAAACTAATAACTATACATATATACACATATATATATATATTCAAAAATATTACAAGAATTATCGGAAAATCGTCCCCATACTATTTCTGGACCATCTTTGAGTTTCCTCCTGTAGAGGGACACGCCCGACTTAACTCTAGGTACGCAGGAACTCCACGGAGCTGGCGCCTCGAACCACCTGGTCCTGACTTCTCGAATCACCTGGAATACTCTCGGATGAAACTCAGACTTCGATGTTCCGCCATCCTGGAAGAGAACGACGACGAGGATGAAGAGCAGTCTCCCCATTTTGCATTGACAGCGTGCGCCAGACCACAGCTGTCCCTGCGCAAGGGCAGAGCAGCTGGAAAAAGGTCTTTCCGACTGGCAGGACTGAAAGAGCGGGCAGGGTAAGGAAGGCATGAAGTGACGAAAAAAGGGAATGGCAGGGATGTACTTCTATCTAACTGAATATATATATATATATATATACATACATACATATACATACATACATATACATATACATATATAAATATGCATTTATAAATACATATATATATATATATAAATATATATGATACACAAAGAAAGAGAGAGAGAGAGAGAGAGAGAGAGAGGAAGATGACAGGATGAAAAAAGGTAGAGACAGAGAGACACGGAAGGAGAGGTAGAGAAGAGGTAGAGGTGGAACAGAGCGAAGTCGGGGCACATGCCGGCCTCACCCGCGCGACATCTCAGGCAGTCCCCAGACTTCGCTGCCCTGCGCTCGCACTGGCACTGGCAGCTGCTCCTGCCCGGGTGCTGATCTGGCATCCCGTCGCTCCTGACGAGGGGAGACGATCGGGGGGTGCCGAAGGTGTCTCCAGCCTTGCGCACCACTTAGGTGTCTCCAGCCTTGCGCGCCACTTTGCACCGCCTCGGGCCCTCCGGGCCTCTTGGAGAGGGGGCTCTCGAGGCCGTGGGGGCCTCCCCGAAAAGCATGGGGACTCCTCGGGCCAGGGACACCTCTGGCTACACCCGAGACGAGCTGGCAGCAGCCTCGCAGCTCGCGGGCACGGCCGCGGCCCGCTGGGAAAAAAAAGTGTCGAGCTGCGGCCCTCGCCGGCAGGAGCGCCCTCTGCACCGCGAGCTGGGCGCGGCGGGAGAGGCCTGCCGACAGCTGCCTGCGGGCTGGGTGCGCTGGACGATCGTGCTGGTGACCTTCTGGGAGCCACTCGCTCCGCTCATGCGCCGATGCAACGTCGAAGGTCCGTCGACTCGAGTCGAGCTCGAGACGAGCTGGGATCGAACCAGAGTCGAGCCAGTCGAGCAGGTCCGTGAGGTGGGCACCAGGAAGGCCCCCAGAACGAGCGTCTAGGGTGAGGGCCCTGAGCCGAGACCTCCCCGATGTGCGGAGCCGGCAGCTCCAGTCTGTGCGTGCAGGCTTCGCGTGTAAGACGCGATGCAGGCAGGGAGCGGAACAGATCGCAGACATCACAGGCACGCGACGGCAATCGCGTCCAGCAGCCGCAGCCTCAGCCGCGCCAGAGGAGGCCCCCACACCCCGCGCTCCCTGCCCAGCCCTCTGCGCTCATCGCCGGCGACTACAAGACGCCTGATACAACAATCGAAAAAGCAAAAAACTGCATGAGCATCATCCTGGCGAGGGGACCAACCAAATGCAAGTGTAAGCACCGCAAAGCAGGTGGGGCAATGGTGCTGTCACGAAAGGTGCGAAAAATGTGTCGAAGTGGGCGGGGTGACGCCATGCGGGCGCTGCCACTGGGGCCGTCAGTGGAGCTCCCTGTGGGGCCACCAAACGTGTAAGGGGTGTGGCGACATGTGCGGGGTGACGCCCGCCGCTGGGGCCGTCGCTGGGACTCCCGGTGGGGTCACGACACTCCCGGTGGGGTCACGACACTTGTGCGAGGGGTGTTCCGACATGTGCAGGGTGACGCATGCGGGCGCTGCCGCTGGGGCCTCCAGCGGGGCCCCCTGTTGGGTCGCGAAACTTGCGAGGGGTGTGTCGAGATGTGCGGCGTGACGCCGTGAGGGCGCTGCCACTGGGGCCTTGGGTGGGGCCCCCTGTTGGGGTTACGAAACGTGTACGTGTGAGGGGTGTGCCGAAATGGGCGGGGTGACGCCATGCGGGCGCTGCCACTAGGGCGCCCCGTGAGGCCACGAAATGTGTGAGGGGTGTGTGTGTGTGAGGAGACGACATGCGGGCGCTGCCGCTGGGGCCTCCAGTGGGGCCCCCTGTGGGGTCACGTAAAGTGTGAGGGGTATGCCGAAGTGTGCGGGCTGACGCCGAGCGGGCGCTGCCACTGTGTGGAGCTCCCTGCGTGGCCACGAAACGTGCGAGGGGTATACCAATGATGGCGAGGATGACGATGACAACAGTGAAGATACGGTGGTGGTGACGGTGATAGTGATGGTGATGAGGATGATGATGATGATGGCATGGATGATTACGATGAGGACATGCGGAGGCCCAAGGCAAGGATGGGAGGAGGAGGGGGCAGCGGGAGGGGCGATGTCTCTTCAAAACGAGGACCCAACACCACAAGTTGGTTGGGAATTAGCTCTCGGAGGTCCGCGCGGATTTCTTGGAGCCGGAGTCCCCCCTTCCCGGCGCGCGGCGCGCGCCCCCGAGGCGCCGCCAGGGTGCTCAGCGCCGAGCCAAAGATCTATGCCTCCGAAAACGTATGCTAGAGCCGTTCTGCCCCCTCCTCAGGACACGCCCGGCACGAGCAGCGGCACCTACTTGATGCGGTGATACGACAGGCTGGCCGACTCCAGCCAGGTCAAGTACAGCAACATCAGCACGAGGAGGGCCGCGCCCCCAGCGTACAGCCAGGCCCGGGGCGTCTCGCGGCCCTTCGACTCCTTCCCCATAAGGCTCTGCAGCTCTGCCAGCCTCCCTATGGCGTGCACCTTCTCCCTCTGCTGCTCCGTCGACGCCTTCCCCTCCACCGTGCTCTTGGTGGCATCGTACGCTCCGGCCTGCTTGATGGCAGGGATGCACTCCGACCATATCTTGAGAACCTCATCGAATCCGCGGCCGTCGATCGCCTTGTTAAAAGCACTGAGGCCCTTCTGCAGATCGCCGTTGAAGCAGTAAATCTGGCAGCTGAGCATGTGGAAGTCAGCAGGGCCTTCCCCCGACTCGGACTCTTCGGTGTCGTTCAGCACCGCGAGCGCCTGCTTGTACTTTTTCTCCCAGACCGACACCTGAGATAGAGAGAGAGAGAGAGAGAGAAAACGAACAGAAAGAACGAAAGAAAGAATGAGAAAGAAAAAACATAAAGAAATAACACAAATGTTCGGGCATTGTAGCATCCCAGAGAGGCACGAAGCTGCTATGCCCAACTGCTCGAGGCAACGAGAGACCGAACCCAGCACACCAGTCGGGCGAGCACTGCAGGGCGCCGACTTGGGCCCCATCCGAGCCCGCCGGCTGGGCAGCGAGGTAACGGGTGGGGGGAGCCGGCTAAGCCACCCCGCTGGGAAGCAAGCAAGACCCGGTGTTACCCATCGGCACTGGGCGGTCGCCGGCGGTCTTCCAACGCTCCTCGACGGTCTTCTGACAGTCTTCGGCGGCCTCCGGCGGCCTTTGGCGCGAAAGCTGGACGGCTGCGTTCAACAAGGGGTCCATGAGCGAACACATGAGCGAGGGGAAAGAGGGACAAGCATCCAGCGGACGAGCCTGGAACGCAGTGCCGAGCGGGGCCCTCGAATGCCCTCGAAGCCTGCGCCGCGAGGCAGCGAGGCGGCTGGGCAGCGGACCAGGCAATTGACGCCACGCCACGGCGAGGCGACGAGGCAGCCCAGTGCTGAGCGCAACACCAGATCGGGATGCGACGCACGACCGAATCTGTCAAACACTAGTCTCGCCAGAGCGGTGAGGCAGCGGACCCGACAACGAGCGCGACACAAAACTGGAAGCGGCACTGTTTGTTGATCGTTCTGGGGACCTTCCTGGAGCCACTCGCTCCACTTGTGCGTCGATGCTGCGTCGAGCGCCCGTCGACTGGAGTCGAACTTGAATCGAGATGGATTCGAGCTGGAGCCGAACTGGAGCCAAGCTAGAAGAGTCGAGCTGGGGTCGAAAGAGCCGTCGCGAGGGCCCCGGAAGGGTCCCAGCAACGAGCATTTGAGGTCTGGCTCAGGGGGGGGGGGGCACCCATTTCAGATCGGAGATGCATCGCCGACGGACCGGCGAAACGAGCCCCCGACAGCAAGACACCGCGCGTTCCCCCGACAGGGTGTGGGGCGCCCAGGCGCCGAGAAGCGATGGCTGGGCGACCGGGGGTCCACGCTGCCGGGGGGGGGGGCGGAGGGGAGGGGATGCGAGGGGGGCGGAGGGGGGCGGAGGGGGAACGGAGGGACCGAAGGGGGAGGGGGGGAGGGCTCCTCCCTCCTCTCCTCCTCCTCCTCCTCCTCCTCC